TTTAAGTACACCTCATTGCAATGTCTCGGTGTACTCATTATATTTCTTTTTTGGTGGAAAGAGATCCAACAGCATATTAAATATCCACCAAGGCAACACAAGTGAGCCAAACACGTGACCAAACTCCACACAATCCAATTGTATGTACACAATGGCATGCAAGAAGCCTCAACAAAAAAGACAGTACCACAGATCATGTGGTTTATTCTGGCATGTTACATCAAGCCAACTTAATTATAGGTTCTTTAAAGCTATGTTCCATGTTTTTCTTTTGTGTGTATGTCACTAAACAAATAGCAACACTGACCACCAGCAACTTTTGTGAAGTCCTACAAAAACAAAGCTATTAATTTTGGTTTGGGATTCAAATAAACAAGGCTTCAAACTTCAGTAGTTCCTCTTAGGAATGGGCGACTATGCTCAAGTGTCCTAATACAGATGTATTAGGCAGTGCTGAGTTAATGGTTGGACTCAATGAACTTAAACATCTTTTCCAACCTAAATGATTCTACAGTTGTACAATTACAAAATTTTAAACTGACTGCCTAGCTATGTCTGTGGATGTAGGTTGGCACTTTTGCAGTCACTCTACAACCTATTCCCACACATGAAGTGTAAGGTGTGATACTGGAGCAGGGTATTGGCCGGGGCATGGGCCCTGGCAGGGCATGGTCCCAGGTTCAGCCATGCCATGCTGCCCTTTGAAGCAGCATTGACTCATCCATGTGTCAGACCACACTGTGAATCAGCTCAGGGAATTGATTTGGTTGAAAAACAAGCCAGACAAACACAGTGCCATAGGCAGCTGTGCCTGCCCACCTGCAAAAGCAGAGGATACTGCCTGAGGAAGGAGATGTGAAGAAACCTGGGAAGGCACAAAGCACACCGATCTGCAGGTTACAACGTGCCTCAGTACGAATGGCATTACAGCTCTTTCTCCTTCACCTAGAGTAAGCAGGGTGTGAGATGGCAGCATGCACCTCCTCAGCCTGCCTCAGGCTCTGGGCAGGCACAAAGCATTGGCTGATCAGATGCACCAATGCTCCAACTTGTCCCTGTTGCCTGCCTGACCTTCCTCCGCCCTGCCAAGGCTGCAGGTGGTTTTCTGCCTCCTTAAGGAGCAGCTCCCAGAAGGATCTGGAAAAGGCCAGGCCTGGCTTGGTTGTTGGAGTGGGGAGACAGGGCACTCTGGCACTGAATGAGGGCAGATGGGGCAATGGGGATGCCTTCCCTTGGCTCAGCCGTGCCGTGCCAGCATGAGGTGGCTCACTTCACAAGCTGCTGCACCCCGGGGACTCTTGGTTTTTCAAAAGAGTGGGTATTGGTGAAACTGAATCACTGTTGACTGAATGAAGTCTTTTTCACCCAGGTGAAAAAGCATCCTCTGTTTGAAAACAACAGGGACTCCACTGTCCAGGATGTCTTTTCAATTATGCTGTCATCGCCCAGTGTGCCTGATCTGTCTTGATAGATGTCAACACTTCTTTTCCCTGCAAAGGACTCCTCCATCCTTTCCAACTGTACCTTTGCAGAGTTTATAAAGGGAAAGTGACACACCAGACTAGCTGCTCTGCACTCTGCTTTCATAAATCCAGGCTGAGTTTATATTGGATTTTTGAAGTAGGGACTGAAATACTACTCTTCTTCTTCAATCTGTGTTTTAGCCCAGGGCTTCAGTAGTGCTTTCAGTGTGTTTCTTAGCACAAGATGTACCACAAGGTTAAAACTGAGCAGCAGTTCAGAGTAGAAGTGGCATACAGCCTTGTGATGTAAAAGAGCTGACTCATAATGAAAGGAAAATAATAGGAATATTTACAGCTAATTTCATGCAGCAGTTGTGGTAGAGGGAGAGGATGGTTATCATCTCATTCAAGCTACAGAGCAATACAAGCAGATTTACCACTCTAAGGCAGAGAAAAAGCCATCCTATTACAGGTGACCAGGCACCACACTTGCTTACCCATAACTTGTCCAACAAGACTGCTTTAAATCATGGGCAATGAAAGTAGTTGCCACTGGGTCTCAGCTAATTTTGAATTTGCCAGAGCAAGGCCTGTACTGCACAAAACACCTTCTGTTTCTATTTTGGGCTCTACATTTTCTGCAGTCCATTTCAGAGACTTTTGGAAGGATTAATCCTCCCAAAAGGCTGAGAAGCAGTGACCAGTGGCACCAGTGCATTGCACACAGCTGTAAATGCTCTCAGACATAAGCTGATGGAGCGTGTGCCTGCACATGGGAGAGCAACAGTGAGTGTAAGAGCTACTCAGTGGCCTGCAATCTGTTCATGCTGCTAATTTCTGAGCTACCATTTAGTCCCTGTTTGCTGGGTGAGCCTCAGCCTTGGCTTGGGAATGAGCACTCTCTCCGAGCACCATGAGTTCACCTCTCCAACAAGTGTAAGCAAAGGCATTAACATGACGTGTTTCTGGATAGAGCTGATCTCATGTCTGCATATGATGCAAGAAAGGAATATCTTTAGGTTTTCCTGATTTAGTTCAAAATTTTGAAAAGTCTTAAAACCAGCAATAAGGCGCTGTAGAAAACACAGCATGTGGAGATCAGTTTGCAAAAGGAAGTGTTCTGGTTTGCTACGCTAGAGTTAGTTAGCAGTGCAGTGTGGTTTGTCCCTTTGTGGTTAGTCATGATGAGACAGTCTTTGCTCAGATCATCACATATGATTTTTTCCTATGCTTTCTTCTCCTCCCCCTCATTCCCACAATAGATGGAACTCACTGAACAAGGAACCAGAGATAGTATGTTTTAACCTTACTCAGAGTTACCGGTCTGTCTGCTCCTGTACTGAGCATGGACTACTCGGAGGCCTGGAATGCACCAGCAGGTTCTTTCACTGTGACCAGTTTCCAACCCTGTTTTGGGGTAATTCCCATCTATGGTTCCCCCTCAGCCTGAATCTAGTACTCACCACGCTTGGCTGCTCAGTGGAAGGGTTTTGTCAGTGTGAGCCTCTCAGGGAAGCCAGACCCACTGGCTGGGTTCTCAGAAGAGCTGGCAACAAGGGCTCTCACTCTTACAGAGTGGTGTCAGCTGGTGATCTGCAGGTGCTTCAGGGATGGAAGTACAATGACCTGACACTAGGTTTGGGAAGGATTTACCAGAGCATCAAGAAGCAGCTGTTTGTCCCTGCCCATCTCCAGCACCATGAGGTCCTTGCAGACTCTTCAGCTTTGCAGGGCAACGGCTTACCTCAGCTGGTCTCTGACTCACTTTCTTTCTACATAAGCCAGGTTGATTTCCACTTTACTTAACACCATGAATTGTGGTGGCTGTTGTTTCTGTTGTGGGACAGCTAGAAATGGGATAGGAACAGACATCCCTCATCGTCCCCCTTGGTGACCGAAGACTTGTGTGAGCAGAAGGTCCCTTTGCCTTGCCAGACCCAGCACTGAGCTGGCAGCAGGCAGAGCTGATCCACATGGCCAGTTAAACTCCACAGCACACCTGGCTTGGGTTGAAGCAGGATTCGGTTTGGATGGAGTCCTGAGCAAATGGGTCTAGTGAAAGGTGTCCCTGCCCGTGGCAGGTGAGTTGGAACTAGATGACCCTTCCAACCCAAACCATTCTGTGATTCCATGATGCTGAACCTGGTGTCTCACTGTTACTGCTGGAACTATTTTAAAGCACTTTGGCTAAACAGAACAGTGAATATACTTGTGATTGAGATTCACAAACATACAGGTGTTTTGTTTACACATAAATGCTAATTATTACTGAGTATAGATTATTTGCTTTTAGAAGTATGTTTGCCATCTGGCTTTTCCTGTGAGGAAAACCTCACCTGCTAAACAATGTCCAGTGTAAGAAAATTAGTACAAAACCAGAGCTAGCAAAGAGATTACATTAACCGTGATGCAGGACCGAACACTAAAATGTTGAAATTAAACATTAGACACTTAATTTTGTCCAATGCAGTTAATTAAGAGATTTGTTGTGGTTGAATAGGATGGTGCAGAAATAAGGGAATGGATGAAAGCATCTGGCTACTAGTTCTATTTTTCTGGCACTGAATTCCTGCATTACTGGCAGCAAAAGCAGGTCTGCTTTTCCCGTTGGATCAACGTCTTTCTTTGACTCATACATCAAAACTGGAATCCTTCTTTAAGTGCTATATTATTTTAACGAGTACAAAAACAAGCACAAGCCAATGACCTTGGCCAATTGTTACACTGAAAGAAAACAATGGCAATTGTTCCTGAGCAACAGGGAGAGCTTGTCTCTGTGACTGAGCTGAAGGCCGCCTGCCAGCTCTGCTGTGGGCCATTCTTGCCCAGCAGAAAAACACACCCTTGGTACAGGCTGTTGTTCTTCACCCCCAGCCCCCTCCCTGGCGAGCCTAAGGGCAGGCAGTGGGTGCTGAGACAGCACAGGGACAAGACCACTGTCAGCCCTGCTAGGCTGGGCAGAGAGGATGGAGTGAACCAGTCCCATGCCTGCTGCTCACAAAGCCATCTCTTGGGGTCCAGATGGAGCTATCTCAAAGCACACAATTACAGCTTAATTTGGGAGGGGGGAGCCCAGAAAAGCCCAACTTCCTCCCACTCATCTTCATCTCACTCATCACTGGGTGAAGTGTTAGTAGAGTCAACTACAGAGGTAGCTGGTGTCAACAGAGGCTCTTTGAAGGCCAGCCTATGCCTCATGGGCATGTATGCTAACTGCTTCTCTCAAGGGTACGATATTGTTAGGTACTGTAGTGAGAAATCTTTTTTTTTTTTTTAAAAAAAAAACTTAGCAAAAGAAAAATTGTCAATGCCTTTTCCTTTGCTTTCCTTTGCCTGTCAATATAAAGCAGCAGCACCATAATGCCTTTAAAAATTAACCTTGTTTCCTTCTCAAGTTGATTATGCAGAGAAAAAGACAATTTTTGAGAATCAACCAATTTGGATGGAACTAGTATAACAGAATGTTTCTAAGTACATACAGAAATAGAAAATAAATGCCCCTTTGCTGCTGGGAGAAAAAATAAACAGGATTTCAGGCTAATGGAGATCAGTTTGACCTGCCTGCTTGTTAGTGGTGTAGGTGAGAGCATCTTTCCCATGACTGGATTTTTTCTTTTTTCTTTTCTCCCCTCCCCTCACTTTATCACAGTCTAATCCAACTCTATAAAAGAATCATAACAAGGTAATGTATTACAAATTTATTGAGTTTTGTCAAAGTAATTATTCAGCATTGAAAATTTTACACATATAAAACCACTTCAACTTCTATGCATTAAAACCAAAGTATGGATTCTTTTTTTAATTTAAAGGAAGTGCTGTGCTTTTGTTTTTAAACATCTCGTGAACCAAATTCTTCAAGTTAGAAAGCTGATAAAAATAAGTGACACACCACTAGAGTTTTTTTCTTTAACATGTGAAATTCATCTCTTTGGGAAACAATATTTTTTAAAACTGCATCATGAAAGATACAGACCTGAAAAAGGATAAACAATCATACACAAGGCATAAATGTTACACAGAGTAATTCAGACATTTTATAAAGAGATCTGGAAAAGTACCTAAAATAGTGATATTTATTTAGTATAAAATGTCAATAATAAAATATTGCTCATAATAAATAAGAAAACATGAGTTTCATTAATACTGTTCTTCCTTTAAAGCTCTCTTGGATGTAACATGATCAGACCTGATCAAAACTCAAATTTTCACTTTCCCCTTTATATGAAGGAGGCAGGTTTACAGGCTTCAGGTCATTCTTTGCTAGAAACAATTTTATTATAAACAAAACATAGAATTTATTTCAAGGCTTATACATAGTTATGGGAAAAAAATAATCCCCAAATGTGAATAAACCATATTACAGTAGATTTTAATACCTAAAATATTTGCCCTTTTTGTTAAAAACAAAATGGAATAAGACTTCTCATCAATTATGAATGCAAAGAGAAAGCTGCCCAAGTTTCCTCAAAAGCTTCTAAGTATCTGTGCAGCTGTACTTAAGAGTTATTAAAGCTGTTAGGGAAAGTTAGCTATGCAGGGGGATAGAAGTTGTATCCCTTTATATGGGGGCACTGGATTTCATTC